ATAACTTCTGAATGTTTGGGGGAATATTTTTCTTTGTTCAGAGTACTAAAAAGCTCTCTTTTTTGAGTTCTTGAAAACATGTTGGGAGCATAGACGGAGATACTATGAATGTTCTGCTTCAAAATTCATCTTTATGATGTTTTTTACTGATGATTAAAATAATAAGCAATTACTTCATACTGTTGATGGCTGCTTCCAGCTTCTTGCTCTGGGACTATAACCATGCTCTATTGAATTGGGAGCTTCGGGTTCAAAGCCAGAAGCAAGAACTGTGAGAACTGCTTTAATAGCTCACCTCACAGCACATTAGAGCAGGAGCTTTATCAAGACTGGATTCCTACATTTGGCTTGAATAACTCAACAGATTGCAGTCTTGAAGCATGTTAAGAGAAAAAACAACTCACAAAAAAAGAGGATGAAAGGTTTTTATCCCCCATCTGTTGGGGGATACTATTTGGATTGGGACATTTTTCTTAGGGACCTCTGCACTTTGCTCTAAAGCATAAAATTGATAAAATGTGTAGGTCTCTGCTCAGCAGCAAATAACAATTACGAATGTTAGAAGAAAAACATAAAACAGAGGATTGCATTAAGATTCTATAAAATAAAAATTGGTCATCACTCATTTAATGAGAATATTTCATTATGATTAATAGAGTTACAGAGACTTTAATTACAAGAGAAAAATCTTATTTTCATATTCTCTGTGAAAAATTTCTCTTCTAAAAATGCTGAATTTGAAAATGACCATGCTGAAAACCATGTGTTGAAAATAAATATGGTGGTTTTTTAAAGAAAAATGGTTATGCAGATACAATAGGCTGTCATTTAGTGTTCATAAACTAGTGAATACCTTTCTAGGAAAGCTGCAGCTGCTGAAAGCCATGGCACGAATATAGGGGGTCTTCTAACTTTTTCAGTTGCCATCAAAGAATTATAAAGAAGTACTGCGAAGCAAAAAATGCCAAATATTAGACAAAAATAGTAGTTAAATGAAATATAATAGGTTTTGCTCAAAGCCATTGTAACTCATACTGTAGTAAAAAGTGCCATGTCTCAGGAAAATTCAAAAAGAAAGCAGATACTAAGGACCCGATAGTGATAATTTTTTTCAGGTTAGTCAGACTTCCAAATATGCTTACATATATTCATGCATATACATATATTCGTATAAAGATAATCTTAAAAGAAGGAAATCTGGCACTATTACCCATAGAATGTTTTTTGTCATATTTAACAATCTGTATCTGTGATTGCAAACAGTATTCCTGACTCAAATCTTGGAGTAACAGGGATTTGTTCCCGCTCATGGTATCACCATTCAATTTTCTGCTCCTTATTTAGAGCAATGAAACCCTATCCATGCCTCATATTTTTACATTATCTAATTCCTGTACCCAGCAATATGCTTAAGTTTACTCTTTTCAGTATCTTTCCAAAACTTTCTTTCACTTTTGTCTCTAAGCTTCTCTCACATCATGTTTTCTTTCATATTTTCTGCCGGTGCTTTCCTCTGAAAGACTAATAGTCTTCACTCAATTCCTTCTTAACACACATATTTCCTGGGAATGTCAACAGTAATCTCTTGGAGACAGAGATCATTTAATATAATAAATCTGCACAACCTGAGAGATTAGACCCCTGTCTGATCATTCCCCACATTTTATTTATGTGCCTCACCAGCAATGTTTACCTCACTAAAAATATGTAATCTAATGGAGTGGTCCTTAAGGTTCAAAAGGCACAGTACACAGTCAGTACAAATACTCTATCAAATACAATTATGGTCTACACTTTAAAAAACAATTTGTGATTTTGAGAGCTCGAGTGGATGACAGTTTTCAGAACAGGTGGTCCAGACAGCTCCACACCAGCACGGATGTTTAAAATGAGGTAATAAAAAGTTGCTAACCATTGAAATTTAGATCAGTATAACCACAGAACCTGCCATTCAGCACACTGGAAATAAAAAAGGAAAAAACATCTCTTTTGACCAATAAGAATAATTTCTCCAAAGTACACCAAAAGGTATATTTTAGCTGTAATTGTTTAAGAGTAAAAATATCAAATAAAAATTAAATTATGAAAAATAAAGAATATCATCTCATGACATGTGTAGCTACTGCATTTTATTATATCTTATACTTGGACTCACATATTCAAATTAAAATGTTTTTTGGGTTTGGGTTTGATTTTGGTAACATTTTGAGTCCTAGATTTAACCCTGTATTTTAGGATGGAGAGTCATTGGGCTACTGCTAATTATAGAGGCAGAAGGAAAATCTTGCTATTTTATATGCCTATATGTTAGGGATATGCACATAAGACTAACATATTTTTCTGCCACAGGCCAATTAGAAACTATTTTTTTCCCTTTATTACTTTCTAAATAAGTTATCTCCAGTTTATGGAGAGGTAAGTATGACTTGCCCAGACAAGAGATTTCACTAGATACCCTAAATGAACCCATTTCCTTAAATAATTCTTTTTCACCTTCACAATAATTTTCCTGTTAAAAAATCATAAGCCAGACGTAAGGAGACGTTGGGAAGCACTGTCAAGTATAACTACTGCAAAGTCAGTGGAATAGTTGGTATCTGCCTCAATAAATGCTGACCAGTCCCATGACCAAGGGCTCTGTGACTCACTCCCAGTGCTTTGCCACTGCTAATGCTGTTGGAACTGTTGTGTCACACTGTCCATGGTGAAAGGACATATAAAAAGGTGAAAAGGTGAGAGTTTCTCTATGGATTTCACTGTCTATAGAGAAAGCTCATCCAGCAGACCCAGATGTTTTACACACTCAGACACGGCACTCCAAAATAATAAGCTATAACAGTAATTCATTTAGCACTGTGACAATTCTGTCTGTGAAATTAAAAAAAAAAAAAGGTGGTGGTTATTTATAGATCACCTCTAATCCACTGAAGATCAAGGCACTCACCACTTACAAATTGATTTATAAATTGCATGTCAGAGGGATAATATTACTTAGCAGTGAGACCTTTGGAACAGCAGTTCATAGAAGAGAAGTGCAGAACAGAGTGTAAGGAAGAAATAATACATCCATTTAGCAGCAGTGTCAGTACCTGCTGTGTCAACTGGCATTTGCCCAGGATGCCAGAGCTAACCGCTCTGGAGTAAGAGTACTACAGCATCATAAAAAATAATGCCTCATATTTAACCCAAAAGATGAGAAAAAGACTAAAAGTGCAGATTATTGAATATCATAGAACACATTCTAAACCTCCTTTTCTTTCTTACCTAGCCAAGTGTCCATTATATCAGAATATTTTCTTTCTCTGTGTATACATTTCTCACACTGCCCCCCACCACTCTACCTCAAGGTGGAAGTAGGTTTGTTTACTAAATTGTGATGGGAGTAATTCAGCAAGTGTTAATACCTCTTGAATAATATTTTATTATCAGTAAAATTAATATCACTTATCTCTTGACTTCTGAATCAATAAAATTATATAAATGAAAATCATATTTTGCAGGAGATGCACAAAATGCCTAAATGACTTTGTAACTTGAAGATAGAATATGTAATAGCTATTTGTTATTTCGTCATCTAAAGAGCCAAGAAAAACAATTGCTGTCTTTTTTTCTTTGTAAAAATACTCTCTTATATCCTAATCTTTAAAGTATAGGGAAAAAATCCCAATTTTTAATGGAAAATGACTACACAACTTGATTCTGGCTCTATGCATTTCACTTTTTTATGTAAGAAATTCATCACCTGAAGAAATCTGTAAGGTGCTCAAACCTTAGAATAAACACTTTCTAGCTGTCAAATGTTATATTTCTCCCATAGCATTAAGGGAAGTTCAGGGACTAAGCTGAAAACATCTGCACTGCTCCTTGTGTATGGAAAGTATAACAGCCTATGTGCAGTGCCAATAACAATATACTGCTTCTTATTTGCCAAGCAATGCTGGTTATCATCAAAAACACACCTTTAATGGAGTAGCTGAAAGGCACAGATCCATAACTGTATTCAAATAAGAATGGGATAAGGAGGTGATTGTGCCTAAATCTGTTCCTCGTCATTTTATGTCCCAGATGAGGTGAAAGACAGAAACATTGTACCTCATTCCCAGCTCTTTTTGACTGGGGACATACACTGGCTTACCACTAGCTCCAGTGCCAGATGTGTCAAAGTCAGTGCTAATGAAATGTGATCTCTTTCCTTCTTCTTGCCTACACATCTGTTTGATTAGAAGACTTAGTGGGGAAATAGACCACAAAGCCAAGTGTGCTCATCTCTATATGTGTGCCATTAACAATATGCTTTAAGCCAGGCTCTAGGAATTTCTTATTGGTGGCAAAGAAGACTATGTAAAGTAGACAAGTAGGTTTTTCATCTGCTGTCTAGTACCAACAGCATAAACAAATATTCAGCAACTGAAGTTCTCCACTGATAAAGCTCTTCTCACAGTGATCACCAAAAGTGTTCATTCACCCAGCATCCAGGAGCTGCATACTGATAACTTTGCCTATAAATTCTCCTCAGAAGGGAAAAAACACTAGTTAACTCCATGAGTTTCAGAGCTCATCCTTCATTTAGTGCCAGGAAGGGTGTAACACAGCAAAGCTGGGACCAGCCTGATTTTCCTCAAAGCCACATCCCTAACATGCAGCTGTGGTTTTTCCATCCCTGAGGGCTGACACTATCCTGCTGAGGTCTGTATCTACAATACCCACAACTCTTTTTAAAATGGCATGATGTGCACTGGCAGAAAATAAATTATCTGGTGAGGGTGGAGGCCAGCAAGCATTGCTTTGTCAACTTGACACTAACACCACTGACTGCATATGGCCATCCTTTAGTGCTCACTACTCATACTAGCCAATCCCACGTGTATACATGAATAATGCATCTTTTATATGCACATTTTTATTTCCAGGCTTGATCTTCATTTTCACAGAATCACAGAATATTCTGGGTTTGATGGGACGAAAAGGAGAAGGAGCATCAGATCCAGCTCTTAAGTGAATAGACCCCACAGGGATCAAATCCATGACCTTGGCATTATAAGCACCATGCTCTAACCAACTGAGCTAATCTCTTTTATCTTAGCCTTAATTATCCTTCTTTTTCCTCTTTTAGCTTTTTGGGCTAGGATTTCTCTTCTGTCCTGTTTTCCTCCCATCTTGCCTTATGAAACACCTCATTATATTCCCTCCTAATAATTAGTTACAACATTAAGCTGAATTTTCAAACCTTGTAACCTCAAAATACACTGTCTAGGATTGGATATTTTCACAAGCATCCAAACAATAGGTCCTCATCAGTAACTTCTGTATTTTAATCTCCTGGGTTTGCAAAATTGTGTTCAAAATTTTGCAATAGTTGTCTTTCAAATTTAATTTCCGGCACTTCCTTTTTTTTTTTTTTTTTTTTTGCAATAAGACGGGGAGAACACTTCAGCATAATATTTATTTCGCTGTATCATTATTTTACTTCTGCTTCTGATCAACACTAGAAAATATGTAGGGGAAGTCAAAGATATATAGTGACAGCATAGGTAAGGAAGAGTTCGATCACATTTTCATGAGCTTCAGAGAAGATCTAGTTCATATTCTTAAAACTATTGTTAAAATTTATTTTTTCCTGCCAGATCTTCCTAATATATTTGTTTTCAGTGCCATTTTTTTTGTGTAGGCTGTATGACTGTCCACTACTACCAAACAATTCTTTTGACAAGCAATCAGCACTTGAAAGTAGCATTCAGAGTTAGAGAGTGGACAGTAAGAATAAGAAGCCAAAACCAAGACCAAATCTGAGGTGAAACAACTTAGCCATGCCAGTAGGTCTCACAGTGTCATAGCCTATTCCCCTTGGAGCAGCATCCAGTTGAGCCACTGGACAAATCTGTTGCACAGAAACACCTGAGTACATATGCCCCATTGTTTTTTCCTCCTTGAATTGTGGAAGATCTTTTTCCTCCTCTGTCCCAAGAGAAAAGAATTGCAGGCAAATGTTTAGCAGCTGTATCTTCACTAAACAGTGTAAGGTGGGTCCTGTCCTGCATGGTGTGAAATGAACTGGTGTGTCTCACCTGCAAGAAACACCTAATGAAATATTGATGGAAAGGCAGTAGAGGAAACTCAGGCAGCACATCTGAGAGTGGAAACCATTTAGCCCACGCATAGTAAATGTTATTTCCATTACTTTTGGGACTGTAAATCTTACCTTCTCAGTTAGTGATTACACTGGAAAACCACAAGCAAACTCAGACATAAATGACATGCAATTAAAAGGATCTTCTGCCTTTCTGTTTCAGTAAATGTTTTGGGTCAGTAAAGCCAACTAGACAAAACTTTCTGAAAGAAATTTGGGAAAAATTCCTTCTTAGAAATGTGGTAATCCCTGTGATAAACAGAGGTATGTTTAGAAAAGGTGTCCCAGGGATTTCTACTGATGTGCCAATTGGGTCGTTTGTGTCTTAACAAGAAAAGCAGACAACATAAAATTGCTGGTTTGTTTATTTAGAGCTAAGTGGAAAGAACAAATTAAAATGAAGGTGAACACCATCCAGTGATGACAGACACAATTTGCCAAGTGTGATAAATATGCCAGTGTTACTAGACACAATGGCAGCACTCCACAAAGCCTGATGACAAACAGCTTCTTCCTCAGAGCTGGTACAGCATTTAAGGCTCCCAGACTGACAGGAGAATGGGGGGAGAAAGGAATGAAAGAAACTTTCACATTGAGTTTCAGTTAATTAAAAGCAGAAATTTGGGAGAGGAAGAAGTCTTACCTTTTGAAATGTCACTTGCCCCTCTTTAGATTATATTATGCACAAAGGCTGAATAAATATTCTTTTGGCACTTGGAGCCAAATAATGACTCTGCTCTGCAAATATTCTCAGTGCTATTATATGTGCCTTAGAAAAAGTTTAATATATGTGCTTATCTTTTCTTCTCCAGCATCAGCAATGAAAATAAAACAAGAATGTTAAGCATTTGTGGTCAATTCATTCTGGAGAGAAGAAAAAGAAAAAGAAAAAAAGCAGATCACACTTCTATTCTGTGATTGTAAGATTGCTAGAAGGAGCTTACTGTAAAAAGGAACCTCAAAATCTGGCAATTTTAAGAAGTGACCACTTCCCCTTTAGGGGCTGTCATCATATTCTGATTTACTGAGACTGTATCAGACTAGAAAGAAGCCCTCCACCGTAGTTCCTCTCTTTGTTAGAATCACCAGTAGCAAAATAGTGATTTTCAGCATCCATTCTAGCAGTTATTTGTAACTCAGTTTTTGCAAATGCTCCATAAACCAGAAATTCCAGGAATTGTCTCAGAATCTATTTGCATTAGCTTTTGTATCATACACCATTGTTTCCCCATTTCACCCTCTTAAAAATAACACTGTGCACAGTCCAACAATTTGCTTCTTTCATATGAATGCAAATAAAGACTTTATTAGGAAAATAGATTGTGTATAGTGATTGCTGATTACTGACTCTTAGGGGAAAGTTTGCCTGAAGTGTTAAGATCTTGCCTGTAAAATCTTGGAGGCCCTGATCTAAGAAAACATTCCTGTGTTGATACAATTCCCATCATTTTGATGTGTTTTACATAAGCATTTTCTGTTGAGGTTTTGGGGTTTTTTTAAATTTAATTTTAAGTTTTCCCATCTGCCTAAAAGATTTACTGTTGACCATCCTCCAGAGCACCTTGGTTTTAAGAGAATCAGTCACCCGAGTCTGCCCTGGCACCCAGCTCCAAGATCCAAATGTTCCTCTGAACACACAAACAGCTGTGGCAAGGGATCACTGTGGTCTTAGCAAGTGCACTGCCCATGAAGCTGATGTAGATGCTCAAAAATGTCAGGAAAGCCATCACCTTCTAAGATATACTTCTAGCTAGAGAAAGACTGCTGTGACTTTTTCCTTTTAGCTTAAAACCCAATTTCAGCAGCAGGGACAGAGAGAATCATTCTTCTAAAGTAAGGCTTTTCTGGGATGTATAAATGTGCAGATTGTAATTCCTCAATTTAAAAAAATTGCTGAATGCCAGGATTTTCATTTCATCGGGTACCCTAAGCATTACTGTGCTGCAGTCATATTGCCTGTACTCATTCCACCCTCAAACACACAGGATGAAAAAAGCAAGGCCAGATGATTCCCTCAAAAGCCACGACATGGGGGCCTTAGGTATGACAGAGAAACTCCAATTATGGATTACAACTGGAAAAGTCCTTCTCCCTCCAGCTCAGAGTGAGAGTGAGGCAGGCAAGGGGAAAGGGTTCACAGCTCCTCCTTTTCTCACTGGCCTCTGCAGACCATGCCCACAGACCCTCCTACAGCCCTGGCTGAGCAGGTCTTGTTAATCACTGGGAACATCTCTGCTCTCCACCTAGGGAGAGCTGGCACCTCCTGCCCCTCACATGGGGACAAAGATGGCTCTTGCTGCTATTTTTTCTCAGGTAACTTTCTTCAGTCTACAAACTCTCTTGACAGGGTGAGTACCACAGCCTGGCTCTGTTCCTGGTCATCCTCAACCACTTCCATAATAAGCATGATTTTTTCTGTTTTTATTTTTTTAATAATGTGAGAGGAACTGCAAAGTCATTAAAAGGTATAGCTTCCTGGCACAAATTTAATTATCAATTCCATCATCTGAGACCACATCTCCTGTGATTCCAATGCCACAACAGAAATGCTTCTGCACTCACATCTGAGGTCATGCAGAATTTGAAAGACCTTATCTCTCATTTTACTTGCTTTAGTTTCACAAAATTCAGACCATCCAATCAGTGCCTCAAATATTTTGTTTTGATATAACCTTTTTCTGTTATAACTTCTTAACTGTGCTATCTTGTTTTTATAACATACATCTTCTTGACATTTGTTTTTTTATTGTTCCTTCTGAATAAGTTCCATACAATCTTACTTGATTTTCAAATTAAAGTTGATCTGCCAGCCCTGAAAATTATTAAATTTGAATTTAAAATGTGGATATTTAGTTTCTGTAATTATCTATATTAAAGGTTTTACACGCATATTTATAAAAAAACTGGCACACAAAGGTATGCTTTTTTAATACTTCTGAAAGTTCAGTATTTTCAGATTTTTCCTTGCATTGTTTTAGTGGCAGAACAGATATTAACTCCCAGCCCAGTATTATATCATGTCTGGAGGTCAGAAAAAATAGGAGGTGCAGACTTACACATACACACACACACCCACATTTCAAATTCCCATCCCAGAACATTTATATATGATCTTTAATCAAAATATTCTACCACTGTGAACAAGTGACAGCATCACTAAGAACACATTATTTAATGAGTAAAATGTGGACAAAAGCAACACAGGGATCTGCCTCAGAATATAGACAGGGAAGGAGATTAAAAATTACTATTATTAGTGGATGTTTTATTGTAGCAAATTCAAGTTTTACAAAATTAAAGTATGCTACCCATACTCAATCTGAGCAATTCCTGTGGGGTTTGTTCTGCTCTTGGAAAAGTGGAAAGACCCAAGTCATTTCCTTCCTCGTGCTGGACTTATACATTCATTAAGCTCAGATGTCGTTCCCACAGAGATGAGCATGAAGGTGAGCACAGCTGTGAAAGCACAAACAATCCTGAGAAAGGTCTGCTCCTGCTGCACTGCTGGGATCATCAGTGTGAGCCCCAGGATGGGGTCTTGGTAACATTTAGAGCTGGTGCCCTTCCACAAGTGGGGGGCTGGATAAATTAGACCCTTTCTTGTGTCCTTGGAAGTCAGTGAGCAAGCATCTGTGAGAGCAGCAAATAAAAAAAAAAAAACAGGCAGTGGGACTTGTGCATGTGAGCTACCTGGAACAGTAATTGGAAATAAAGAGCTCAACTGTGGAGTCAGCAGTCTCTTGGTAAGAGGGGAGTCACATCCCAGGCACATATCTCTGCTTCCTACTAAGGACATCTGGATCCAACAACAGTTTTTACTCAATTTCTTATTTGTCAGTAAAGTGGCTTCATGACACATATGTAGCCCTTTGCACCTCTTCCTGTGCTCATGCTCAAGAAGAGCAGTTTGAGATCTGTCATAACCTGGAGGAAGCTGATTTTTG